AAGGCTCCTGGTGCTCTGAGGGACGCGGACCCTCCCGCCCATGCTGTCCCGGCACCTGGCACGGCACAGGGTCCTGCTCCTGTGGGCCTGCGTCTGCAGCGGAGCTGGGATGTCCCAGAGGGGGACCAGGGAGACAGGGGGCACCTGCTGCTGAGACTGGGGAGGCCTGAGACACCACACCCTGCTCCCCGCTTCCCCCCACTGCTCCCTGCTCCCTGCTCCCCCACCCACACCCTGCTCGCCCCCCTCCCCCTGCTCTGGGCTCCAGCGGCCACAGTGGGAGCCGGGACTTGTCTGTGGTTCCCTCCTGGGAACCCAGTACCTCGCGGGCTCATGGCCCGCATTCCACCCTTAGACCGTCCTGGGGGAGTGTCAGCGGGAGGTTCACCGTGAGGCTGAGGCGGTTAAAGCAGTGGGGGAACGGCGGGCCTTCACGGCAGTCTTTTCTGAGCACCAGGCATTGAGTGGCCAACCCCACGGAGCCCTGCTGGGAGGAAAGATGCCCTGCGGCCCAGGCCTCCGCGTAGAACACCCCCAGCGCCTGCCCCGGGCCTCCCGCCTCACGGCAGCCTCGTCTGGCCTGGCCTGTGCCCACTCGTTCCTTCCACGCGAGAGCGCCCGCCCGCTCCTTGGAGACCACGCCACCCCGAGGCCGCAAGGGGACTTGTGACAGTTGGCGCTCAGCTGAGACCCACACGTTCTTAAAGGGTCATCGACTCTTTCTGTACAAAGGGCCGACCCGAGAGGGTGCCATCTCAGGCCGCCCACCAGGCGCCCGGATCTGCTTCCTGGACAGACACGCACTTTGGTTTCTCAAGTGCGTGGACTCTTGCACGTGCTACGGCTGTGGGCACTGAGGTGAGGGCCGTGATCTGCCCCGGCCTGGCACCCACCTCCCCCCTGCACCCAGCACCCAGCACCCAGCACCCCCCACATAACCCTCTTCCCCTGGCAGCCACCTCCCTTCCCCCCTGCACGCAGCACCCAGCACCCAGCACCACTGCGCCAGGGGACCCCCTCACTGCACCAGGGACCTCCTCACTGCACCAGGGACCCCCTCACTGCGCCAGGGGACCCCCTCACTGCACCAGGGACCTCCTCACTGCACCAGGGACCCCCTCACTGCGCCAGGGGACCCCCTCACTGCACCAGGGACCTCCTCACTGCACCAGGGACCCCCTCACTGCGCCAGGGGACCCCCTCACTGCACCAGGGACCTCCTCACTGCACCAGGGACCCCCTCACTGCGCCAGGGGACCCCCTCACTGCACCAGGGACCCCGTCACTGCACCAGGGACCCCCTCACTGCGCCAGGGGACCCCCTCACTGCACCAGGGACCCCGTCACTGCACCAGGGACCCCCTCACTGCGCCAGGGGACCCCCTCACTGCACCAGGGACCCCGTCACTGCACCAGGGACCCCCTCACTGCGCCAGGGGACCCCCTCACTGCACCAGGGACCCCGTCACTGCACCAGGGACCCCCTCACTGCGCCAGGGGACCCCCTCACTGCACCAGGGACCCCGTCACTGCACCAGGGACCCCCTCACTGCGCCAGGGGACCCCCTCACTGCACCAGGGACCCCGTCACTGCACCAGGGACCCCCTCACTGCGCCAGGGGACCCCCTCACTGCACCAGGGACCTCCTCACTGCACCAGGGACCCCCTCACTGCGCCAGGGGACCCCCTCACTGCACCAGGGACCTCCTCACTGCACCAGGGACCCCCTCACTGCGCCAGGGGACCCCCTCACTGCACCAGGGACCTCCTCACTGCACCAGGGACCCCCTCACTGCGCCAGGGGACCCCCTCACTGCACCAGGGACCTCCTCACTGCACCAGGGACCCCCTCACTGCACCAGGGGACCCCTCACTGCGCCAGGGGAGGCTCTGACGCAGCTGCTGGTCCAGGGGGCGAGGCTAGAAGGGAAACTCCCTCCAGGGAGTGCTCCGCACGCGGTGGGCCTTCCTCCGGGAGCGGCTGTCCCAGGGCCGTGGGCGCCTCGGGCAGGTGCGAGCGGAGGAAGCTCAGTGTCCGCCGGGGCAGCTTGTCCTAGCGCCAAAGCTCGGGGTCCCGCGCCATGGCGTCACGCTTGATCCACGGAACACGGGGTGAAGGGGCTTCCCTTTTTGCAGGATTTGCTCGCACAGTCGCTCACCTTGCCCACAAAGTAGGGACAGGTGCCTGCATGTGCAGACACTGACAAGGCAGGGGCTGGCGGCCGCCCCGGGCCTCTTCCCAGGAACCCCTGTGAGGCCGGAGCACCCCCTCCTTCAGGCGGAGAGTCGGGGGGCTGACGGGCGGCGGGAAAGCATGCAGGCCATGGGGTGAGTGAGGGCTGATGGTTAGCCGATTCGCCTCTTACTTGCGGGCCCAAGGCAGAGAGGGTCGGAGACAGTGAGGGAAACGGAGGCGGGGACCCCGGCCCCGACTTTGCTCTGAGTGGCTGATGTCAACATTCATTCTCAACGTCCGAGCCCCGCCCGGTGCTCAGGATCATAAGATTAAACAATAGATAAGAGACATTTTAATAAAATAAAACACTGATTAATTTTCTTTGTATTTCAAAAAATGAAATTGTAAAGTGGCTTTAAAAAGTGTCTTTAAAACATTAAATCTCTTGAAGGGATTTTTTTCAGACTCAGTTTTGAAAACCTGATTGATCATAAACACATCACCCGGCTGGCGGTTCAGTGGTTAGAGCGTCGGCCGTAGCCTGGAGGGCTGTAGGTTCAATCCCGGCCCTGGTCTGGCGCGTGCGGGAGGCAACCGGCCACGTTGTCATTCTCACATGGATGCTTCCTCTCTCTCTCCCTCCCTCCCTCCCTCCCTTCCACTTTTCTCGAAAAAAAAAACAAAAAAACACCAAAAACAATGGAAAAAATATCCTTGGTGAGGCTTACAAAAAATATATATCTTAAAGGCCCCCAATAAATTCTGAAATCATGTAACTTTTGACAAACCCTGTAAACAAGTTTGAATTAGCTTAATTGCACCCAAGGCGTTATCACAATCAAAGTAAGAGCTCACTTTCAGAAAAATAACTGATTAAAAATAAGTCACCTAGTTGAAAAAAGAGATAGAGGAAGACATAAACAGATGGAAGAACATACCATGTTCTTGGATTGGTAGAATCAACATCATTAAAATGTCCATACTACCCAAAGCAATCTATAAATTCAACGCACTTCCCATTAAAATACCAACGGCATATTTCACAGACCTAGAACGAACTCTCCAAAAATTCATCTGGAACAAAAAACGACCCCGAATAGCTGCAGCGATCCTGAGAAAGAAGAAAGTAGGTGGGATCTCAATACCAGATATCAAGCTGTATTACAAAGCCACTGTTCTCAAAACTGCCTGGTACTGGCACAAGAACAGACATATAGATCAATGGAATAGAATAGAAAGCCCAGAAATCAGCCCCAACCAATACGCTCAATTAATATTTGACAAAGGAGGCAAGAACATACAATGGAGTCAAGACAGTCTCTTCAATAAATGGTGCTGGGAAAATTGGACAGATACATGCAAGAAAATGAAACTAGACCACCAACTTACACCATACACAAAAATAAACTCAAAATGGATAAAGGACTTAAATATACGACCGGAAACCATAAAAATACTAGAAGAATCCAAAGGCAACAAAATCTCAGACCTATGCCGAAGCAATTTCTTCACCGATACAGATCCTAGGGCATTGGAAACTAAAGAGAAAATAAACAAATGGGACTACATCAAAATAAAAAGCTTCTGCACAGCAAAAGAAACCATCAACAAAACAACAAGAAAGCCCACTACATGGGAGAACATATTTGCCAACATTATATCTGATAAGGGCCTAATCTCCAACATTTATAGGGAACTCATACAACTTAACAAAAGGAAGATAAACAATCCAATCAAAAAATGGGCAAAGGACCTAAATAGACACCTTTTAAAAGAGGACATTCAGAAAGCCAAGAGACATATGAAAACATGCTCAAAGTCGCTAATCATCCGAGAGATGCAAATCAAAACAACAATGAGGTACCATCTCACACCTGTCAGAATGGCTATCATCAACAAATCAACAAACGACAAGTGCTGGAGAGGATGTGGAGAAAAAGGAACACTTGTGCACTGCTGGTGGGAATGCAGACTGGTGCAGCCACTATGGAAGACAGTATGGAGTTTCCTCAAAAAACTGGAAATGGAACTCCCATTTGACCCTGTGATCCCACTTCTAGGAATATATCCCAAGAAACCAAAAACACCAATCAGAAAGGATATATGCACCCCTATGTTCATAGCAGCACAATTCACCATAGCTAAGATTTGGAAACAGCCTAAGTGCCCATCAGTAGATGAATGGATTAGAAAACTGTGGTACATCTACACGATGGAATACTATGCTGCTGTAAAAAAGAAGGAACTCTTACCATTTGCAACAGCATGGATGGAACTGGAGAGCATTATGCTAAGTGAAATAAGCCAGTCAATGAAGGAAAAATACCACATGATCTCACTCATTTATGGATAATAAAGACCATTATTAACTTATGAACAAAAATAGATACAGAGGCAGAGCAGCCTCGAACAGACTGTCAAACTACAGCAGGAAGGCCGGGGAGGGTTGGAGGGCAGGAAGGCGGGGGGCGGTAAGAGACCAACCGAAGGACTTGTATGCATGCATATAAGCATAACCAATGGACATAAGACACTGGGGGGCAGGGGAGGCCAGGGGATTGTCAAGGTGGAAAAAAAAAAAAGGAGACATAGGTAATACCCTTTGTAACACTTTAAGCAATAAAACAATAAAAAAAAATGAGTCACCTGCCAGAAGTCGGCCACAGTGGCGGGCAGTGGTCCCTGGGCGGCAATGTACGCCGGACTCCTGGGGTCATGGTCCATCTGCAAGACAGGTTCACAGTGATGAGCTCGGAAATGGTCACGAACGAGGAAGTCACACAGCGGCCACAGGGAGTGCTGGTCGCACCCTGCCCCGACTGCCACCAGGACACGCCCCGTGCCGGCGCTCCTGACTGCTGTGCAGGGGACAGGAGCAGCATCAGCAGTGAGGACCAGCCCTTGCTGATGTGGCTCAGTGGATAGAGCATTGACCTGCAGATTGAAGGGTCCGGGTTCGATTCCGGTCAAGGGCACATACCTGGGTTGCAGGCTTGATCCCTGGCCCTGATCAGGGAGTGAGTGTGGAGGCAATCAATTGATGTGTCTCTCTCACATCCATGTGTCTTCTCTCTCTCTGTCTCTCCCCTCCCTTCCACACTCTCTAAAGATCAATGGAAAGATATCCTCAGGTGAGGATTAAAAAGAAAAAAGAAGTGAGGTTCAGATGCCAATCAATGAACCCGCTACACAGGCTGGGCCGCAGGGTGAGACCGCCAGCAGGTGGCCTTTCCACGGATCCTAGAGCGGGTTGGCATGAGCAGGGTGAGTGCAGAGTCAGGGTCCAGGCCATGAGCAGGGCTGGTGCGAGGTGAGCCCTGCTCCCGGTTGAGTGAGGGCCCCGCTCATGGCGAAGCACCTCCCGCTGGAAGCATTCATGAACGCAGTGCATCTGCCTCCGGAAAGAGTTACCGCCCACAGGGGCACTTGTTTTGTTACCACGAAGGCTCAGGCACGGCTGAGTCACGCACGGTCAGCGTCCTGGGGAGGAGGCGGCCCCAGCAGCTGGCCCCCACCAGACGGGAACAGGAGTTTTCGATGCGCAGTGCTGGGGTGACATAGCCCCACCTCCTGCCCAATGTGCTTTTTTACCCAAAACAATTTAGAGAGCAGCCCAGTTTTGAATTGTTACTATGTTCAATTTAGCATTTAGTTGCTTTCAAAATGAGAAATGTGATTAAAAGTGAAAATCTGAACTGGTTTCAGGAGAGTAAATAAGGCCACCTTTTGTCACAGGTCTCAATTGTTGTGGTGTTTCACTTACTGTCCCCAAGACCAAAGAGGATGGGACACTCGCCATCCCCCTCGCTATCACGTGGCTGTCGCGTGGCTGCCACACAGAAGGCCGTGAACACCTAGAGGGCTCAGTGAGGAAATGAGTCCTCCGTTGAGCAACAAAAGACAGCCCTGACGGCGGTGCCACGCACCCTCTGTGGGACAGACCACATCCCGGGCAAGAGCACTCGGTGTGAGCAGCCAACGCCGCGCCTCAGAGCCGTGGCGGGAGGAGGGGGGCGCGGCATCCTCAGTGAATGAAAGTACAGCAGACAACAATGCGGACAGAAGCCTCATTCCACTTGATCTCCAAGGCGGGACAAGTGCGATGAGAGGAGGCAGGCACGCCCCTTCCCTTCTCCGGGAAGCACTCCAGGCGGCTGACGAGCTCAGCGTGGCGGACGTGTGTCCCGCCTCCGGTTCCTTGTGGGAGAACAGCATCTTCTCCGTTCTAGCTCACTTTCCCACGTCTTGTGGGAAACTTTTTATTTGTACAAATGCCAAGTTCACAACCAGAAGCTCTGTGACCGCGGAAGAAGGGAGAGTCTGCTTGGACCCCGGCCCTGTGTCTGTGAGACCTGAGAGGGGAGGGATGTGGGCAGCACGAGGTCTGATGCCCTTCAACCCCGGGATCCCGGGAGTTTTCAGAAAAGGTGAAGCGGAACCCACTGTCCACAGGGTGACGAGTCTGTGAAGACGCCGGGTGAACCTGGGCACCAGCACAGAGCGTTCCTATGAACCCTCAGTGCACAGGTGAACAGCCTGTGATCTGCCTTAAGCTGTACAAGGGCAATCTATATATAGGAAGGCCTAAGCGACTATTGGGCCTTTGGACCGGTGGACCTTTCGACTGGAATCTATGACATGCACTGACCACCAGGGGGCAGATGCTCAGCACACAGGCATGGAAACATGGAACAGACTGATGAATCAGAGGGAAGGGGGAGGAGGGAGGGTGGGAAGAGATTAACCAAAGATCTTACATGCATACTAGAGGCCCGGTGCACGAAATTCACGGGCAGGTACCGTCCCTAGGCCTGGCCTGTGATCAGGGCCATCTTCCCCACCTGCCTGCAGCCAGCCCCGCCCCCCACCGCCATCCACCCCCAGTTCCTGTTCACCATCGGGTGATCGGTGCCTTACGGCTGGGGAAAGGGACCAAGAGGTCGGCTGTTCCTGCCCGCTTGCTGGACCCACCCCTGCAGCCTGCCAGCCAGGGAAAGGGACCAAAAGGTGGTCAGTGTGCGCCGGGGAAAGGGACCAAGAGGAGGTCAGTGCGCCTCATAGTGACTGGTCCAGCAGTCGTTCTGGTCATTCTGCTGTTAGGGTCAATTTGCATATTACCCTTTCATTATATAGGATAAAGGCCTGGTGCATGGCTGGCCTGCCCTGAAGGGGACCCTGAGTCAGGGTGGAGGGTCCCCGCTGGGGGGCGGGGCCGGCCTGGGCGAGGGGTTGCGGGCGGTTTGCAGGCCACCCACGCCCCCGGCTTTGTCAGGAAGGACATCTGGTCTATCCGGTCTAATTAGCACATAACCCCTTTATTAGTATAGATTATTAGTATAGACTAGAGGGCTGGTGCACAGATTCATGCACTGGTGGGGTCCCTCAGCCTGGCCTGCAGGGATTGGGCCGAATCCGTGCACCAGGACTCTGACATCCCCTGAGGGTCCTAGATTGTGAGAGGGCACAGGCCAGGCTGAGGGAACCCACGTGCATGAATCCATGCACAGGGCCTCTAGTTATTAAATAAGCGTGACTGCCTGGTTTTCTCCCTAGAAACCCTAATGTGCATGAAAAACTTTGCAATAATTTCCCCAGTGTCCTCTCAGAAGTGATCTTAAGGAGGAAGTGTTCAGTGTGTCCTGAAGCCTGGCTCTCTTATTTGGCCAATTTCTTATGCTATTCAGGGCATCATCCTCTAAGGAATCAATTTGTACTAGTTAATTAGACAAATGCATTCTGATACTAGATAAATCAGTTAAACACATTCTGATACCAGTTAAATCAGTTAAACACATTCTGAATTAAAACTTTATTTATTTTAATAATTCTTTATTGTTGAAAGTATTACATATGTCCCCTTCCCCCCCATTGAACCCCTCCAGCCCGCCCCCACCCCCACCCCAGGCCCTTATCGCCCTACTGTCTGTGTCAAAGGGCCATGCATATATGCATACAAGGTCTTTGGTTGATTACCTCCCACTCACCCATCCTCCCCATCTTCCCTCTGGGATTCCACACTCTGTTTCATGTTTCCATGCCTCTGGATCCACTTTGTTCATCAGTTTATTTTGTTACTTAGATTCCAGATATAAGTGTGATCATGTGACTCTTGTCTTTCTCTGACTGGCTTATTTCACTTAGCATGATACTCTCCAGGTTCTTTCATGCTGTCTCAAAAGGTAAGAGATCCTTCTTTTTTACTGCTGCAGAGTATTCCATGGTGTAAATGTACCACAGCCTCTTTATCCACTCATCTACTGATGGGCACTGGGGCTGTTTTCAGATCTTAGCTATTGTAAATTGTGCTGCTATGAACATAGGGGTCATACATTCTTTCTGATTGGTGCTTCAGGTTTCTTAGGATATAGTCCTAGTAGTGAGATCATTGGGTCAAATGACAGTTCCATATTTAATTTTTTGAGGTAACTCCATACTGTTTTCCATGATGGTTGCACCAGTCTGCATTCCCACCAGCAGTGTAAGAGGGTTCCCTTTTCTCCACATCCTCGCCAGCACTTGTCCCTTGTTGATTTGTTGATAGAAGCCATTCTGACAGGTGTGAGGTGATACCTCATTGTGGTTTTAATTTGCATCTCTCGGATGATCAGTGACTTTGAGCATTTTGTCATGTCTCTTGGACATTGTATGTCCTCTTTGGAGAAGTGTCTATTTAGCTCCTCTGCCCATTTTTTTCATTGGGTTGTTTGTCTTCCTTTTGTTAAGTTGTATAACTTTCTTATATATTTTTGATATTAACCCTTTATCAGATGTATCATTACCAAATATGTTCTCCCATACAGTGGGCTCCATTTTCGTTTTGTTGATGGTTTCTTTTGCTGTGCAGAAGCTTCATTTTTTAAAAAAAAATGTATTTTATTGATTTTTTACAGAGAGGAAGGGAGAGGGATAGAGAGTTAGAAACATCGATGATGAGAGAGAAACATCGATCAGCCGCTTCCTGCACACCCTCCACTGGGGATGTGCCCGCAACCAAGGTACATGCCCTTGACTGGAATTGAACCCGGGACGCTTCAGTCTGCAGCCCGACGCTCTATCCAATGCGCCAAACAGGTTAGGGCGAAGCTTCCTTTTTTGATGTAGTCCCATTTGTTTATTTTCTCCTTAGTTTCTTTTGTCCTAGGAGATGTATCTGTAAACATATTGCTATGAGAGATGTCTGAGACTTTTCTGCCTATGGTTTCTTCTAGGATTTTCATGGTTTCACTTAAGGGACATTTAAGTCCCTTATCCATTTTGAGTTATTCTTGTGTATGGTGTAAGTAGGTGGCTTGGTTTCATTTTTTCCTGTATCTGTCCAATTTTCCCAGCACCATTTATTGAAGAGACTGTCTTGGCTCCATTATATGCTCTTGCCTCCTTTGTCAAATATTAATTGAGCATGATGGCTTGGGTTGATTTCTGGGGTCTCTGTTCTGCTCCATTGCTCTATATGCCTGTTCTTGTGGCAGTAACAGGCTGTTTTGATTACAGTGGCTTTGTAGTATAACTTGAGATCTGGTATTGTGATCCTTCCAACTTTGTTCTTCTTTCTCAAGATTGCTGCAGCTATTCGGGGTCTTTTTTGGTCCATATAAATTTTTGGAGTATTTGTTCTAGATCTGTGAAATATGCCATTGGTATTTTAATAGGGATTGCATTGAATCTGTAGAGTGCCTTGGGTATGGACATTTTAATGATGTTGATTTTACCAATCCAGAACACTGGATTAAAACTTTAAACATTTTTCCTCCCTTAATATACTGCAGAATAAAGAGGGAGGTGATCCTCACCTGCTGACGGAGACTTCAGCCTGTCCCTGTTGTGAAATGTGCAGTTTTGACAAAACTGCCATGTGACTGACGGGCTCAGCCTCCGCTCCAGTGCCCGCCGCCCGAGGGGCCTCTCTCGGACACCGTGCGGGAGAGTAGGGCCTTGGTTCACTTTCACGACCTCCGATGAAAAGCAAAGATTGTCCACTATCGCCCACGGCTGGTGGCGGAGTTTAATGCGGGCTGAGCACAACCGTGGTGACGGATGGCCAGGCTCCCAGCCCTGACGGCTGCAGCTGCCCTGGCCGCTATCTCAGAGGAAGACACCCCACGGGCTTCTAGTTCACCGTTACGACTCAAGTTAAAGGAAGAACTGTGGTGTTGAATAAAGGAGGGAGCACAACAAAATCACGTATTTCCCTCGGTGTTGCCTTCAGACCCAAGTCCCTGCGGGAGCTGCTCCTGGACGATGATGTTTCTACACCAGCAGCTGTGCCCACCCTGATGCTGGGCTTCAGCGGGCGCTGGAACTCGGAGCCCACACAGGGGACGCGGGGGCTTGCACACACGCCCTCATGGCTTTCGGACCTGGAACGACTCCTTTAGTTCTCTCATGGGTCCTCCCAGGGACCAGGAGTCATAGAAGGACGTGACTCTCCTTGTTCCAAGGGTCTGGGGTCAGCGCCATGGTCCGTTGTGCAGGCCGGGGCCAGGCAACTACAGACCCACCTCCCGGACACAGGCCTCTCACAGCGGGGACGGGTGGCCACCAGCGCGGCTTTGCCTTGATTGTTTGAATCAGAACCAATAAGAAAATCCAAGCACATGGCAATGTGCTGGAGAAGGACTGAGTGGCCACAGGAGAACCTGGGAACCAGGGGTCGAGGTCCGGAGGCACCTGCAAGAGGACCCAGGTATGGACAACCTTCTTCCACGAGGCCACAGGCCAGGGCGGGCTCAGCCGGGCAGGCAGACATGCCGGCCAGTCTTCCCTGCGCTGTGCTGGACCGGCGGTGAGAAGTGTCGGGAAGCGCGAGGTGGCCCAGGCACGTGGAGCCTCAACAAGAGGCGTTTATACAACAGGCGCTTTGGAATGGGTGGGACCAGCCACTGTGGCCCCCGTGGCCCACCGTCAGCAGCTGCTGCTTGGAGTCACATGGCGATGCTCTCCTGGACAGCTCGCCACTGGGGAGCCAGGGGCTGCTAGCACATGGGGTGCCTTTCATGAGTCCAGAGACCCCTGTCCCACCCAAACCTCTGTCACCTGTAAAGTCATTGCCTTGGAATAGCAGCCGGTGCAGCACCCCTACACACAGTCCTTGACTGGATGCAAGTCATGATTTCGGGGAGACGTCTGGACACCTCCCCTAAGACCAACATGGAGAAACATGTCTACATCGAGGCCACCTCAGCCCCTCGCCCTCATAAACCCACACCAAGCCCTTCTCTGCTGCCGGCTTAAATGCCCTCGACCGCACTCCTGTGGCCTCTGCTTGCAGGCACACAGCCCCCTCCCCGTGGCTGCAGACCCCCAGCCCCTGCCCCCCTGCCCAGGGCAAGAGGACCGCAGGGGCCGCACGCAGTGAGACAGGAGGCAGGACGAGCCCAGGCAGCTGTGGGCGGGAGGACCTCCCCAGAAGCTGAGAGGGTGGGCTGGCCGCGGGGACCTGACAGTGAGGGGTCAGGGGGTGACAGAGACCCCTTTCCCTCATCTGGTCCGCAGCTCCACCTCCCAGAGGGCACAGCACCCTGCACCCCTCCAGACAGCCAAGTGCCAGGGATCACTTTCACAAGTGCCAGGCGTGGCGCTAATTTGCCCATTTCCCCGGAATGAATCGGGCACAAGTGGGCCTGGGAAAGGGTAAACCTTCAGGCCACTGGCACTGGCCCTCCCGGTCACTGCTCCCTGCCCAGGACACAGTCACCTGGCCACTGGGTAAGGCTGGTTGCTGAATGAGACTAGTTACTTCGTTGAGACTAGTAACCTGGCTGAGACTAGTTACCTGGTTAGGGCTAATTACTGGTTGAGACTAAGAACCCAGTTGAGACTAGTTAACTGCTTAAGGCTGGTTCCTGGTTGAGGCTAGTTACCTGGTGGAGACTAGTAACCTAGTAGATACTAGTTATCTGGTTAAAGCTGGTTCCTGGTGGAGACTAGTTACATGGTAGAGACTACTTACTTGGTTACTGGTTGAAACTAATTACCTGGCTAAGACTGGTTACCTGGTAGAGACCAGTTACCTGATTAAGGCTGGTTACTGGTTGAGGCTAGTTACCCAGTTGAGGCTAATTATCAGCTCTCTACTGGGAGCAGGGCAGGGCACGTTTTCCATGCCAACCTCACGTGGCTTGCCCACGTGGTGCCCTGGGAAAGGCTGGCACCCTCCGTGGGGACAGTACTTACAATGGGGCTGGCGTTGATGTAGTCCGAGTTGCTGTGGCTGTTTTCCGGCTTCAGCAGGATCCGGGAGTGGTCATCTGCAAAGGTCCAGAGCAGAGAGTCAGGTCTGTGCCAGCCCGCACCGCCCAGGAGTGCGCACACAGCGATGCCGCGAGGGCCCTGTGGCTGTCCTCTGCAGGCGGCGTCCCCTCCGAGTGCTCAGCCCTTCCCACGGAGCTCAGGGTGCTCTGCCCCTTCTCCCCATTTACTCCCGTCACCGTCTGTAGAGGAGAATCAGGCTGTGCGAGGACCTGACTCTGTCCCACCTGGTACAACCTGGAGACACCAAGGTTATTTGCGACATTTATAGAGTTGACCTTTACACATGTTCAGCAACATAGTAAATAAATGTAGACATGCAGAGGAAGCTATCAGGCACCACTCAATAACTCAAGCTTTGTCATCTACAAACAGCTAAATCCTCGAGGTGATAGAATTTCGTTTTATTTATTTATTTATTAAAAATAAATCTTTATTGTTCAGATTATTACAGATGTTCCTCTCCCCCCTGCCTCATAGCTCCCCTCCACCCGGTTCCCACCCCACCCCATGCCCTTACCCCGCCCCCCAACATCCTCGTCCATAGGTGTAAGATTTTTGTCCAGTCTCTTCCCGCACCCCCACACCCCCTTTCCCCCGAGAATTGTCAGTCTACTCCCTTTCTATGTCCCTGATTCTATTATATTCACCAGTTTATTCTGTTCATCAGATTTTTT